TTGTATTGCGATCGAGTCAGGACCATACACAAGATGTCCCCTTCACAGGATCTGATGGCTCTGATACCAACTTGATATGAGTCACCGTACGAGCATATTTGATCGTGAAATTATCAAAGGTAGCTTGAGAAGAAAATAATAAGAACATAAGAACAATTCAGTGGTGGCAAAGGAAAATACCTTCTCTAGATTATGAGAATAAAATAGTTTACAATCTCTCACAATCTCATTAGAATTGAAGAATAATCTCTCTCAATTCTATAATACAATCTAATCTCTCTTAATTGCTTTTTTCTTTTTTTAAAACCCTAAAACAATCCCTTATATAGGTGTAGCAACGTGGATGATAAAGTGGTAAATAACCAAGCCCAATCCCCACAGGAATTCGTGCAAACAGAACCCCAAACGAACCAGGAAACCGTCGATGAGTCGACTCATAAACATGCATGAGTCGACTCATGCCAAGTGAGTTGACTCATGATGAGGTGAGTCGACTCATCAGAAACTTTCAACAAAACGACTACGTTTCGTGAGTCGACTCATGACAGACATGTAAAACCCCGTAAATTTGAATATTTTATGATAAATAATGATAAATATGTTATATAGTGAAAAATAATATATTTTAATGTTTGGATATGATAAGAATTGATTTGAGATCAATTCAATATATATTTGTGAAAATATGAGTGTAAATGCACAAAACATGCACAAAGGCTAAAAGAGTAAAAATCTGGGAATAATGACCAGTTATGAGTTTTTATGTTTTGCATACCGATGCAGTTAGAATTTGGAAAAGTGTAAAAGACTAAGGTTGTAGGTCTCTTCAGCAGATTTCCAACAAGTCTTAGATCACCTCATTCTGAGGTCGTATGAGAAAGTTACAGCCAAAATACCGAAGGAGTATTTTCCTAGTCAGACTAGGTTTCCTGGTTCGGGTCTAACTAGTTTGTTTCGGGTTTGCCTCTATAAATACCAGTATTTTTCATGAAAATTCCTTTCTTTTATTATATCTAAGAACCCTAACAGCTACCAAACCCCCCATAAAACCTATTTTGAATTCTTGGAGAAGTTTGGAGGCTTTCAAGTTGGGTTTTTGTTGATTTTTGGCTTTTAGAGTGGAGATCTCCTTCGACGTTGCTTCTAACAAGTTTTTCCTTCAACCCCAGGCGAGTATCATCTCTACTAATCTCCCTCCCAGTTTTTAAAATATTTTAGTTTTGTAGAGCCAAATCAATTAATTTGTGTATAAAAATTGGATCTTTTGTATATATGTATAAAGACTAGGTCTTTTCATGTTAAAGAGATTAAGCACGAATTTACAGAAGTATTTTAAGAGCTGAAAATAATTTAAAATATTGTTTATCTGAATTTAGATATCTTATTCTTCGTTTTAAAGTTTCGTGCATGATTGAAGATTTACATATGATTTCTTGTGCAAATAATCATGTTTGTTATGTTCTGTTAAAAATCTGCTGCACATATATACTATTGAACTAGAAATTTGAAATAACAAATGAAATCCAATTTGAACCAAAATAATACCAATTGAAATATATATGAATCTAAATTTCAAAACAGAAAATCATACCTAAAGATAATTTTCCTAGAGAAAGATATGCTCAATTTACTGATGATATGTTCTGCAGAAAATCTGCTGCACATATAAAATGTTTAACTAGAAATTAGAAATATCATATGAACTCCAAACTGAGCCAAATCAGTGTCAAATGATAGCTATGTGAGTCTAGTTTCCAAAACGAAAAACCATTCTTAAAAAGAGTTTGTCCAGAGAAAGATATTCTCAATTTACTAATGATATGTCCTGCAGAAAACTGCAGATGTGCTGATTTGAAATAAATTGATATATTACGTAAAGGTTTCTTGAGTTTCGCTCTTGTTTGTTATTTTTTGAGAGAGTTTCTCAATCTTGTACTGTTATATATAATGCTTAAGAGTTGTTTAACATCTGGGATAATGATGAACACCAGATATGGACACGCACACCGAGATATGTGCACGTACACTTAGATTATGTTGTGTTAACATACTTTTTGTCGCACGTTGAGCTGATGAATACATATGAAAAAGTTGACACGAGTTAAATTAATAAACACATATGAATAATGATGTTCTATACGTATCCAAAAATAGGAAGATGAAACCTATTACCGTAGAACGATTGAGTAATAGTATTACAACAGTATCGTTGTTATATGTATCCGGAATAGGAAAATAATAAACCCTATTGCTGCAGAGCGATTAAGTAACGAGCATTACAAAAGTATCGCTATAGTACAAGATGATGCACACATAAATGTTTGATCAGTTGTAGGCTTTACTTCTATGATAAATTGCCCGCGAGTAGGGTATTTTCCTTTAAGAATTTGTTACACCCGTTATGAACGGTAGATATATTTGTTTTAGCTTAGTTGGTATCCTCTTATATTAGAGCAGGTCACTCGGACGTAATTCGAGATGAGATGATTATTCTTTATGTTAGAGATTGGAGTATTTATCATTGATTATTTGTTTTTCATTCATAGAGAGTTATATGATTGATTTTATATATATATGTACTGACTCTATTTTCTTATATACTCCTACCCCTTCCCCTGGGGAGAGGTAGTGATGATCTCGCTAGCGCTTTGACGCTCGTTGTTTTCCCCCCTTTCAGGCAGCGAGTCTGGCGCACGGAGAGTCGTAGGTTGATGGGACTTTTTAGTTGTCCATTTAGTTACTTATCATATTTTGTAGTTATTGTAGAACTCCACATGTAGTTGATCATTTTCAGAATCTAGATTGGTATTTTGTTTCATAGAGTTGAGAACTATTGTAAGATTTTGTTTATATGACTCATTGTATTTGAGATTCAGTTCAGACTCAGAGATATGTCTATTTTATTCCAGTTGGGCTCATTATTGATTTTTCTTATGCTTCTTCTGTGTATATCCAGTGTTGTCCTATTTTTATTTTTACCTGTCTGTACCTTCACCTATTTATTGTTTCCACTAGAGAGATAGTGATTGTGATGGTGAAACTTGTCATAGCATGGTGGTTGGTGCTTGGCAGGTTTGACAATCCGGGTTTTACCTGGGACTGCAGCCTTGTGTGAACCCTGGGGCGTCCCAAGACATGAGTCGACTGAACCTGATGAGTCGACTCATGTACATGTATGAGTCGACTCACGGGCTAAAAACTTGATGCTTTGATTATTCGATTCGCCGTCTCGTTCCACGCTTCAACATGCATTCCACTGTGTTGTTTTACCCCTCTATTCTCAAGTTACCACGAGAATCATCTATCATCAAGCTCTCATGAGGATCGCTAAGTTTCAAAGAGAAAATACACCCGTATCAAAAACTCAACAGTTAAGTTTTAACACCTAGCAGTTAAACATAACACCTAACAGTTAAACTTAACACTGAAGCTTTACAATTAACAAATAAGCTTTACATGTAACATTTAAGGTCTAAAAAAATGAACTATCAATTAGGCTTTTTCACCTCCACGGCATCTCCTCCGCTATTTTTCGTCTTTCCTTAAAGCATCTTTACTCTTTCTTCTTCCACATCCGTCATTGCATCCCTCAAAGTCTATCTCTTTGGCTAAGATGGTCATTTTTTTAGTGTTAAATTTAAATTTTGAGTGTTAACTTAAATTTTGGAGTGTTAGATTTAAATTTTGACTTTAAGTTTAAATTTCTTAAATTTCAAGTGTTAAAATCTTTATAGTTTTTAAAGTTAACACCTAAAGTTTATTGTTATTTAAGTTTACGTCAAAATTTAAAATTAACGCTCAAAAATGGTTGTTTTTAGCCAAAGGAGATGATATTTGAGAGATGTGACAAATTTTATAGAAGGAATAGAGATAGTTGATGAAAGAGGAAAAAAGTAATGCCCCGCCTCGGAATCCCGGGGTCGGTACGCTACTAGATCTAATGGACTAGTCTCACAAACCACCACATGTCTTTTCAGCACGTTTTTGTCCTCACTCACGCACTCCCTGGAAAACTTTCCAGGGGGTCACCCATCCTAGAATTTCTCCAGGCCAAGCACGCTTAACTTTGGAGTTTCTAAGAATTGGGTTCCCGAAATGAAGATGCATCTTGATGGTATGAGTATTCCAATCAAATCTATCAATACTAATCACATCACCATCTCAAGGATTGGGGTATTACAAAAAACGAAGGAGAGGCCATGGCAGGGGGAAAAAATTTAGTTCATTTTAGACATCACATGTTAACTTAAAGCTTACATGTAACTTTATAGTTTTAGTGTTAAGTTTAGCTGTTAGATGTCAAACTTTAACAGTTAGGTACTAACGTTAACTGTCATGAGTTAATTTTAACTATGAGTGTTAACTTTAGATGTTGTATATTAACTTCAACGTGACTTTAAAAGATGATCCGTTTAAGACAAAAATGATAAGATTTGAATGATGCAACGACATTTGTATAATTGAAAAAAGAGACGAAAAATAACAAAAGAGTTGACGTGGCAGTGAAAAAGATAATGATTGAGAAACAGCGAGAAGAAAGAGAAAGAGAATGCAATAAGAAAGATAGTGATGGAAGAAATAATGGTCGAGGAAGAGAATAGTTTGGAAATAAAGAAAAATTATTTAGTCTTTGTGCTGAGGTGGCTACATGAAAAAGGGATTTTAAGTGGGTCAACGGAAGGAAACACGCAAGAGAAAAGTTGTAAATGGAACAACATGTGCGGATTTCTAAAAGGGGCCCATAGACAATTATAAATATTCCAACTTAAAAACAGCCGACACCTTCATTCTGAACTGATCATCGAATGCACTCCGTCTGTGGCCGCACTTCTGCCAACCAATTCATCCCCCGCTCTCCTTGCATCCCTCCAAATCCCCAGGTCCCAAAACAGACCACATGGATGCCAATCATATACTGGGACCACCATCGTGGGCCCCACAAGAAAAGTACCCAACGCTCACCATTTTAAAACCAATACCCAAAAGACGCTTTCAGGTTCTCAACAGAGAAGCTGTGCAAAGTACAAAAAAAAAAAAAAAACAATGGAGAAGAGAAGGAAATCTGGGTCCGTACTTCTACTTGCTTTTGCCCTCGTTCTTGCTTCCTTAGCCTCTGCTTCTGGCTCTTCTTGTTCAGAGGATTCTGCTCTGGAGAAGGACAGGGTGCAGACTTTGCCAGGGCAAGATTTCAACGTTGAATTTGCCCATTACTCTGGTTACGTAACAGTTGATGAGGAGGCAGGGAGAGCTCTCTTTTACTGGTTCTTTGAGGCCGCTGAGGATCCTGCATCCAAACCTCTTGTTCTCTGGTTGAATGGGGGTATGCCCGTGGAAAAACAATTTACCCTTTTTATCTGGGTTTTTATTTATTTATTTTTTTAATTATTTGCATTTGAAGTTCTTTTTCCAGTGAATAAGCTAATGTTTTTAAGATGTTATTAACCTGTTAACTTGAGGGAGAGTGGGGGAACATTATCACTGATACTCATTGTAACGTGCCCCTCTGTTCTGAAATTATTCAAAAAACCAATTTCTGTGAAGAAATGAATTATTATTTTTTAATTTTCAGTGAGTTTGGTGTTGATTAGCTGAAGGAGGGAGAAAGGGATTGAGAGGGATTTAAAACTCTACGAATTAACACGTGATAATTATGTGATGTCCTTTAAACTGAACTCTGAACCGTGTAAAGGGTGATGCTAAAGTTAAATTTAGCTGAAGTAGGTGTATTATTTGGGGGGAAGTATTTTGGTGAATGTAGGTTTGTCCGTCAAACTGAAGGAAGAAAATTTCCCTTCTGCTCATAATTGTTGAGCTTTTAAGGGTTGAACTTCAGCTTTGATTCTAGTACTCAGCGATTGTTTTCTCGATAAGAATGCTCACGAAAATGACTCAGCATTGTTAAATGGGTGAATTTGGGTTTCGGATTTTGGGGTTAGCATTCTGATAACGAGGGTTGTATTCAAACCGACTGCATCAAAGAAGGCGGTTGGTTCGTTGGTAACGGAACCCTTGCTTGCATCCACAGTATTTGTTTCTTTGCTTCAAAGAGACGTCGTCATAATTTTCTGATACAAAATTTATTGCAATTTCAGGGCCTGGATGTTCTTCAATTGGTTATGGACTGGCAGAGGAAGTGGGACCTTTCCATGTTAAGCCAGACGGCAAAAGCCTTTACTTGAATCCTTATTCATGGAATCAAGGTGGAAAAGAAAAATATTTACATCTCTTCCTTCTTAACTTTACCAAATATATATATGATTACGGACAAGAGCTTAAATTTTGTACATCTCATAGTCATAGATATAAGAACCCATTAGGTTGAATGCCAATATTTCTGCTGACCAAGCAAAGTGAAATCTGTGACTCCAGTTGTTCGTTTGGCTACATGTGTTTCTCAAGCCATTTGCATTTGTTTTCCTTCTCTATAATCAATTAAGACGAACTAAGCTTTAACCTTCTTCCTTTGTTCGTCCAGTATATTAAACAAAATTCCGATTGAGGTGTCACTTCTTAGGCACTCCAATATCCCTTATAGTTCTAATGATTGTGATGTAAGATGCATTCGGTTATTGATTCAACTTTGTACTAATCATACAATTTTTTACCCTTTTCTTTAATATTTATTTCAAGGATGTGAATGTATATCATTACTGTGATAACACTTCACAATTTACATTTGCAGTGGCTAATATTTTGTTCGTTGATTCTCCTGCTGGGGTCGGATTTTCCTACTCAAACAACACCAATGATGTGTTGAGTAATGGAGATGAAAGGACTGGTAATAATGTTACATTCTACTTTAAACATGTGGCCTTGGTTATTAGGTGGAGGTTAGCTTAGTTTTTCCTCTGTATTCGACTGCAGCCAAGGATTCCTTCAATTTTTTACAGAAGTGGTTCAAACGGTTTCCTCAGTACAAGGGACGTGACTTCTATCTAAGTGGAGAGAGCTATGCAGGTTTATGGAGATTACGTAACCAATATCATTATTAGAAGAAGCTTCAATTTCTATTCTATATGATAACAAATTTGTGACCAGATCAATATATTTTAACCACTGCAAATCTCTGCTCTTTTTCTAGGGCATTATGTTCCTCAGTTGGCCCAAGTCATTGTAAGGTCTCAGAAATCAACAGGAGACAAATCAGTTAATCTGAAGGGATATATGGTAGGAATCCTTGACTTGGGTTTTTTCTTTGATATGGAAAGTTTGATTTTCGGTTCTTTCATAAGTACCTTAAAATCAAAAGGGAGCTTTACTCAGAAATAAATGCAGGTGGGAAATGCTCTGACTGATGATTTTCACGACCATTTGGGAGTCTTCCAATTCATGTGGGTTGCCGGCTTGATATCAGATCAAACATACAAGCTGTTAAATGTTTTATGTGACTTTGAGTCATTTATACATTCATCAGAACAATGTAACAAAATCCTTGACACTGCTAGCAGTGAACTTGGAAACATTGATCCATACAGCATCTTCACTCCTTCCTGTCCCGGGAGTGCTACTTTTTCACAGAATAAACTGCTCAAAAGATTACACGTGAGTATTTTCTATGGGAGGTCAAATGCCAATTTTTTGCCAATTTGAGTTTGTTTTCTATGTAACCCTTCTGCAACTTACTTCCTTGAGCCTGACAATATTTCAGTTGTTAAACAGATGTCAAAAGTATTATGATATTATCTAGAGGAAGCTAAAATTACTATATTGGTTGATAGTAAGGAACTTCATAAAGAAGAAAGATTGAATAATGCTCAAAAGAATTTGTGTAATATCCTTCATAAGTTTGATTGTCACTTCTACATGTAATAAACTTACAGCATCTATAATTTCTTTTCTACCTTTTCATGTCAAACTAATGCACCAATTACACGTATGCTTTATGTTAACAGTCAGTTGCAAAGATGGGTGAAAAGTATGACCCATGTTCTGAGAAGCATTCAACAGTTTATTTCAACTTGCCTGAGGTTCAGCATGCACTTCATGTTAATCCAGCGGCTGCACCATCAAAGTGGGAAACCTGCAGGTAAGCACATGGAACTTTAAGTATTGGCATTTACTTTGTGCATGAAAATAGGTTTGGAGTGAATTCAGTGCAGGTTGCAACTCTTGAGTAGTTATCTACTCTTTCCATCTGTTTCCCTGTTTCCGGAACGCACTAAATGCAGCATTTGTTGGGTTTTTGAGATCAAACCCCTGATGCGATTTGGAAATAGAGATAAGAGAGAAAGAAAACAATCAGGGTTTTTGAGATCAAACCCCTGATGCGATTTGGAAATAGAGATAAGAGAGAAAGAAAACAATCACAAACACACAAGATTTTACCCCTGATGCGATTTGGAAATAGAGATAAGAGAGAAAGAAAACAATCACAAACACACAAGATTTTACGTGGTTTACTTCTCAATATGAGAAGCTACGTCCACGGCCGCCGCACGAGAAAATGTCACCATTTTCGTCTCTTTTACAATTTGCCCTAATCATCCCTTTAATATCATAAGAGTATTACAAACAAAAAACTGAAACAGGTCAAAAAACCGAACCTGGGCCAAAACCCGATTCGCGGTCGACCGCCGCGGGCGACTGCGACGAACGACAGAGAGCAGAAAATATTTACAGGGTATCCGAAAGTCCAGAGACCAACCCGGTCGACCGTCGCGGTCGACCGCAGAAAATCCAGAAGCCACCCCGAGTCTTGTGCACGTTTGTGGTCGACCGCGCGCCATCAGCGGTCGATCGTGAATCTGCCAAACTGAATCCTCGTCATTTTTTTTCTTGAACTTCTTCACCGTTGACCATGTTCCTCCAACTTCTTTTGTTTCCTCTTCAATCTGAAGTATAGGACATGTCTGATAGTTAGGCTTCACATATCCTAACAATCTTCTACTTGGAAACTAACTATCAATCTCTATCACCTCTCTTTACGGCGACGGCCTCCATATCATCAAGTAATGAGGTCAACTAAAGTTAAACACAACTTCAGTTTCTCCGTAGTAACAACCTTCGTAAGCATATCAGTCAGGTTCTTGCTTCCTTGAATCTTCACAAGCTCCAACATGCCATCATCTAATGTTGACCTTATGAAGTTATAACGGACCTGTATATATTTGGTCCTGGCATGAAAAGCTGGGTTCTTCGCCAAATGAATGGCGCTCTGGCTGTCACAATGTAAAACACTCTTCTCACTTTTCTATCCCAACTCCTCCAGGAATCCCTGTAACAGCTCTTTGCTAGCCTCTGTCACAGCAACATATTTAGCCTCTGTAGTCGATAAAGCAACAATCTTCTGTAACTAGGAAACCCAACTGATAGCTGTAATACCCAATGTAAATACGTATCCTGTAGTGCTCCTCCTCTGATCTATCTCACCAGCATAATCTGCATCAACAAATTCCTGCAGAACTAACTTGCTTTTCTTGAAGCATAAATAATTTTCTATAGTACCCCGCAGGTACCTAAAAATCCACTTTACTGCTTTTCAGTACTGCTCTCCTGGATCTGACATGAATCTGCTCACAGCTCTCACTACATGTGTAATATCGGGTCTCGTGCATACCATTGCATACATAAGGCTTCTAATAGCTGAAGCATATGGGACCTTCGTCATGTAGTTTTTCTCCTTATCAGTCACCGGACACTGCTCTTTAGTCAATCTGAAATGACTAGCTAGAGGTGTGCTTACGGTCTTAGCACCATTCATCCCGAATCTCTCAAGCACCCGCCTAATATAATCGGCCTGAGATAACTTTAATGTGCCCAAAGACTTGTCTTTGCTAATCTTCATCCCTAATATCTGCTTCGATGCGTCTAAGTCCTTCATGTCGAACTCACTAGACAATTGTTTTTTCAGCTTCTTGATCTCTCTTATGTCTGAACCGGCTACTAGTATATCGTCGACATATAATAACAAAATAATGTAACTGGTGTTAAACTTCTTGAAAAAACAACAATGATCAGCATTGTACCTGGAGTATCCATTCCTATGCATGAATCCATCGAACTTTTTGTATCATTACCTTGGAGCTTGTTTCAGACCATACAAGCTTTTTTTTAATTTGCACACCATCTTCTCTTTGCCTTTCTAAGTAAACCCTTCTGGCTGCTGTATATATATCTCTTCCTCTAAGTCACCGTAGAGAAAAGCTGTCTTTACATCTAACTGCTCGAGGTGTAGTTCTTCAGCTGCAACAATACTCAGAACCGATCTGATGGTAGTCAATTTGACTACAGGAGAGAAGATTTTCGTGTAGTTAACTCCTTCTTTCTGCTGAAACCCTTTGACCACCAATCTAGTCTTGTATCTCTTGGAATCATCATGTTCCTTCTTAATTCTATACACCCATTTGTTACTCAAGGCTTTCTTTCCTGCTGGTAACTTTGTAAGTTCCCAAGTCTTGTTACTTGTTAGTGTTCAAGGACTTTATTTTATCTTTCATAGCAAGCTCCCATTTGCTCGCATCATCCACTCGACATGTTTTATCATAATTTTTTGGCTCTCCACCGTCACTCAATAATAGATAATTCAAATGAGCTCTGGGCTGTAATGATGAATACCTCGGATTTGGCTTGGGAACTGTTGTCCGTCTCAACTCTCTAACGGACTTTTCACGAGACTTGAAGTCACGTGAAGTTTAGCAGGTATTTAATCAAGCTGTTAAACTTCACGGGACTTCAAGTCCCGTGAAGTTTCCTATTCTAACAAACTTAACGGGACTTGAAGTTCCGTGAAGTTTGTTTGAATTTATTTTCCTCTTCATAGAAAGCAAAGTCCCGTGAAGTTTGTTTGAATTTATTTTCCTCCTCACAGAAAGCAAAGTTCCGTGAAGTTTGTTTGAATTTATTTTCCTCCTTGCAGAAAACAGCCGAGATGTGCGCAAGTTGGAGTTCAGCACGAAGGTGGGTTACGTGGAGTTCCTCACACGTGTGAAGAGGGCTGAAACCGAGACACGTGCTAGTGTACCCTCTAGTTAGCAACAAGTAGAATATTTTGAAGGATAAGATTTTGAAGGATGGGATTAGTGGGCCTATGTTAGTGTACCCTCTAGTTAGCAGCAAGTAAGTACATATATGTTTTTGTGTAAATTTGTTGAGAAGTCGAGGGGCTAGTTGCATAATTTTAGAAGTAGAATCGCGTGGGATTTTGGTCACTTTAATAAACTTCACGGGACTTCATGTCCCGTGAAGTTTATTAAACTGTAAAACTTCACGGGACTTAAAGTCCCGTAAAATTTAGCAACTTAGTTAAATGGCTGCTAAACTTCACGGGACTTCAAGTCCCGTGGAGTTTGGGAACTTTTTTCGCCAAAACCGACCTGATTTCAGTCTCAGGACTGAAACCAGATCGGTTTTGACAAATAAAATTGAAACGGGTCGTTTTTGGGGAATATGTTTGCAAATAAGACGGTTTTAAAATTTTGCCCTTCAAAAAATCCCCTTTATTCCTAAGAATTACTACCTTATATTAAAAAACTTGTTTAGAATGGCATGATTATAGTAGAAGGCAGATTAAGTAAATGTAAAATAAATAATAATAGGGCGATGAATGATCATTAGCTAGTGCAGTTAACACTTGACTCCATTGTATAAAAAGTTTTCCTTAGATGATGAAATTTGTTCAATGCATGCACAATGTAAGGATATAATCATGCATAGAGAATTTTTTCTTTATTATTATCTTTTCCACAGCTTTAGAGCAAAGGATTAGATAAGTTGACACCACATAGTATTTACTATTATTTACTATTGACCATAAGCAAAAAACTTCATAGCCGGAAGAGAATGATGGGTCTTATGCATCTTGTTAACAGTTTTTAAACACCATCTGAAAAGTCTTCCATAAATGAAAATGAAATATACATCATGCACACACAATGGCAAGATACAAACTACAGAAAGCATAGAAGCTAATTACCATAGGTCCCACAACTTCTTTGGCTTTCTCTTTGGCATAAAGCATCTCAATCAATGCTAAGGAGAACTCGATAGCCGTCCTTGCTCCTCGGCTTATAACCACCTTCCTTTGAACTTGAACCCTAGATTCCACTTTCGTCACATCCGTTAATAACTTCTCCATGAAAGCAGGATGACAAGTAGCCTACATACCAAAAGAAAAATCATATTTCAAACTATCCTTGCATAAAATTCAATTTCTTTAGCATTTTCATTCAATTCAATCTCACTTTCAATCCTTTAAGCAGACCCCAAGATCTCAATGCAACTGCTAGGGTTGCACAATCGCCGCATTAATCCCTCCACTTTCTCATTGCTTTTTAACCATTTCTTCCAACACTTTACAATCTCTTAGGCTAGTTGAACTAGGCGTTCCTCCCTAAAACAAACCAACCCACCCACCCCCCAGAAAATTTAACCCAAAAACTTCTTGCAAGTATCTAAAAAGACAAAAAAACAAATCTTGCAATTTTGAGATTAATAGGAAACGTGAAGAGATCAAAGGAGGAGTCTTTGCAATCGGAGGTGAGGGAATCGGCGACGAGCTTGATCCCTCAAAAGGCGTCGACGGGAAGATGGGAAGCAGCTGAAGCGACGGTGGAAGCACCTGAAGCGATGGTGACATTAGTGCCGGAGCAGCGAAGAATGTCGATGGTGATGACGGCCTCTGTCACACTCCGAAAACTACAGCAGAAATTCATAAATACGGGTTATGAGACAGTAGCGACTCACGCACAAGACAAGTCCCGTGCATGAGTCAAGCCTGATACTTTATAACACGTAGCTTAACTCAAAACATATACATAAGCCTACTGAAGATAGTAGCTCAAAACAAACTATACATATATACTTATAATCGTTATTTACATTTCACAGCCTTACCGTTATAATTATTTACAACACAAAACACTATTTTATGCTGAACATAACACCACTGGAGTCGAGTTTTCAAATAAGCACTTCTTAACCATGCCCACAACTAAGAATTTGGATTATCACATTTCTATTTCGAATCTGGAAAAAAAATTAAAATACAACGGAGTGAGCTAAAACTCAGTGAGAACATTTTCCACTAGA